CTCCACTGACTTGGAGGAATATCACCAATAGTAAACCAAGGTCTTCCATTAGGTTTTTAAGAGATATTTTTTTTTTGTTGTGCCAGAGTTAACTTCTTCATCAAGGGAGTCATAAATAGGCTCATGTCTAACTTCTTATTTAGAAGTGTTGGTCATCAAAATTTGGGTTAGGTATGCATAATTGGGATCTTCTATTACTAAATCATCAAAGGAACAATCTTCAATTATTATAGGAATACTCTAAGAAGTTGGATTGAACAAGGTTTTATGGTCATGGGTCTTAAGGATCTTGGAAAATAGGATCAAATGGGTCTTGATGGGTTTGCCTTCATGGTGAAGGTAGAATTTCATGAGAAGATTTTTTGGAGGATGTGCTGGTTTTTTTTTTTTGCTTTGCCCTTGTAGGGTTTTAATGCTTTTGGTTTGCTCCATGACTTTTAGGTAGTGGCTGCAACTAAATACCAAGAAGTTTATGTGGAGTTGAGTAAACAAGGAAGGATATGGATCCATCTCAATCTTCTATTGTTTGACCTTTGTCTTGATGTAATTATCCATATCCTGGATCTAAGTCTTAAGTCTTCTAATCTCTCTTTCTTTGGCGTGAATAATTCCCCATAAATGGTGTTTTTTTAGTCTTCTTCCAACCGAGAGAGTTATGAGGAAAGTTGTTTATAATACTTTCTTAGGTTTGAGGAGAGATGTTGGAGTTTCTCATAAGTTTCCTCAAGGTGTGTAGAGAGTTTGTCCATCTTCTGACCAAGTTTTTGTAAAATAGAGTATTAGGTTATGGCATTTTCAGTTTGTCAATTCAGTACTTTCTTAGCTTGATTCAGTGGTTTTGTTTTCCCATTGGCTCCAACTTCTTGATAGACCACATTTGTTTTGGTTGTCATCTTGGACACGGGATCAGTATTTCACTCAAGAGGAGGAAATTCCTCTTCATAAGATGTCAGATTAATCATCATGCATGGAATAAGAGGTGATATTTCTGGGATACAACACCTACTTTGCTTGGAATAGTAACGATTAAGACATGTTTAGAGTAAAAGTAGCTAGAATCTAGGAGAGAAAATCTGGCTAAAACAGGCAGTCCACGTCTCCCATAAAAAGAGAGAACTAATCTGATGACTCCATAATGAAGGTGAGTATACCCTTCATTCTGCCAATATCTGAGGAGATATTTGGGAAGCTCAATATTAACATATTGTTCTTCTATGGTTGCAACTAAAGAACACTGGTCCATTCTAGAGGATTTGACATATTCTTTGACTTGGGGTCTTCTGGTAAAAATAATAAGTCTTGATATTTATCTAAGACTAGATCTTTGACTTTTGAATATATTATAAGGACTTAAGAGAGGATTGTATGTCTTTAAGATTTGAGTATCTTCAGGGACATAAGAGTATTCTATGAGGTTTTCTATTTTTGACGGAAGAATTTTTAAAATGTTTTCTAGCAGAGAAAGTAGAATTTAACAATACGGGTCCTGACTCAGGTGGTGTTTGGTTATCCATGTTTGAAAATTTCTCCTACATGTCTTTTATATATAATTTATACTATCATGCCACCTTTTGAAAAATGATTAGCCTCTGATACCATCTCGGAGAGATCTCCATTCTCATCCAAACAACATGAATTCACTATGACAAACTTCAACCACCATGGTAATAACGTGCACTCAATATTCATGTTATTTCACAATAAGAGAGAATTACGATGATATGGGTTAAGGATCAAAAGTTTTATGATACATAAGATCCTCAAAAGAGACTAGTGTAGAACATATTTACATTTAAGTAGGAAAGAGATAATATAAATTATATACTTCAGAATTTCAAAGAAAAGAAAACTTAGAGAAGACATTTTTAAGAAAGGAACTTTGTATTCGATTATTCTTCCTTGAGTCATTACAAGTCCTTCTATTTAGAGGCACACTATATAAGCGAAATTGAAAACTTCGCTAAACTAAAATGAATTTTGGACTTGAAAATATCATACAAATTGGAATCCAAAGATAAGGTTTTGGCACACACCTATTATGACTTAATATTTTACAAACAAGATAAGATGACAAATATCCCTTCAGATAAAGTAAAGTGAAGTCATTCTTATCTTCATTGACACATTTGTAGTACATGCAATAGATACGTGTAAAGATAATGAAATCTTGTTTTAGTAGTTTGTCATAATGACAATTATTAACCAAAATCTTTACTTTGAATCTAATCTTGTAGAATTGGAACAGTTCATCTACCGAGCTTCACTCTAAGTCATGCTTCCATGCAGCAGATCCTAGTAAGGATACATCCTTTTGTGAAGAATCATTTCTTCCATCAGTTTTTCGTTGCAATTATCTGTCAAGTCTTCAACTTTTTGAAATTCCTCCTTGGGTACATAAAGTTCGATTGATAATTTGAATAATTTTTTCTATTGGGAACCATCATCTTTTGGAATGATTATGTTAAGAGGATAAGAGCTTAGTGATTTTTGGGATGAGCTGGCAAGATTAAGATCCATTGGTCTATGATTATAATGGTTGACTTCACAGAGATGCCAGATTAATGGTTTTGTAGTCGTCATCCAAAAGATATGTTTCAAAAGTTCCTTAAATATAGACTTCATTTCTTGATCATAAATGTCCGGTGGGATTCTGGAAATATGAATAATGGATGATAAAGATAAAGGTGAGAGAATCAAGAGAATTTTCAATCATTCCTTTTTAGTGCAGAAAATCTAAAATTCTCTTTAATTCTTGTCTCCACCAAGACAAAGGTGAAAACCATTCCAATAAAGTACAAAAATAAAATTCTTCTTTTTAAGGATATGTTAGGATATTGAAAGTCATCTACATTTTTAATGCAATAAGAATGGAGTATCGAAGAGTATTACACCATATTGTCAAGAGTGTTGGTTCACAAAGATCCCATTCAGGTTTACAAAATAATTCAAAAATTCCTTCTAAAGGAATATCAGTATAAAAAATGACAGTTGGAGAGCTTTTGTACCTCATGGTTTCATGGAGAAAATAGAAATAACAATATTTTGCATAGTAGAAGATTTCGGTTGGAAAAGTTAGGTTCAATCAAGGAGAATAAACTTTTATGGTTTTAGATCTGTGGGACAAAGGATTGACCATAAATATAAGGAGAAAATTGTGAGTGTCAAAAATTAATTGGACAATTTTCTTTAGGTTCTACATGAGTGGGAGATCCCAATAGTGGGTTTTCACGAGAGAGAAAAATGAACCTGCGTATAAGAAGGTAGAGCATACCAAGTTACTGGGTGTCGATTCTAGACCACTTGCGATGCATGGTGAGAAGGAAGGTGGAGAAGTACGGGAAGGAAGCAAAGAGGAGAGTGGAGGGACAAAACAAGAGAGGACAGTAGATAGATGTAGAGCACTAATCTTGATGTTTTGGATTACCTGTTCTTTTTTATGTTAGACTAGCTATATATCTTATGTAAATTTTAGTTTTTATGTCGAACACCAGATGGTCTGATGTAAAAAAGATTGTTTTAATTTCAAAAATCTCACCGCATTTTTGTTACGTTAAGTATGTATTAATTCAATTTATATTAATTCAATTTAGATTAGAAATTTCAAAAAATTTATGACTTAAATTGAATCGGACATATTTTAGCTCAGCTTTATTTAGATCATAACCTATATGAGCTTAGGTCACACTAATCCATGGACTTGTGAGCTGATCCATTTAATAGAATAATAATAATTTTTTAAATAAAAATAATATTATTTTATTAAAAATATATATGTATTATAAATTAATTTTATAAAGAATTTAATTATTCCAAGAATAAATATAAAAGGAATAATTAGGATGAATTATTATTTTAAATTAATAAATCACTAAAAAAAATTAAATAACGATAACGAAGAATAAGACTAAATATATCTCTTATCTTATAATTTATATATTAAATCATTATATTTAAAATAAAAATTAATTTTATTAATATAATTTAATTTTTTAAAATATATTTTTAATTTTTATTTAAACATTTTTAATTAATTACTCTTATATAGATTTTTTTTTAATCCGACAATTCATTAACTTATAATATATGATCAAATTAGACAGAAAATTGTAAACTATTAAAAAGAAAAATAAAAATAAATCATAATTTTTTTCCTTAATCTATATGTCCTGAACGAACCGCCAGCTTAAAATCTCTAGTTAGGTAAAATGTTAGTTTTGTAAAGACCATAAAGGAAGGTTGCTTTCCGTTCTTCAACTGACTCTTCTACATCCACGAAAAGAAAAACGAAATCCCACGGTTTACGAACATTTTTAATACGAAAAGTAACATTTTAAATCACGGAAAATTTAGAAAAATAAATTTAATTTTATTTATGACTTTCTTTTGTCGTCTATTATTTCAAATCCACCGATTCATAATTTTGTTGATGAGAAAATGGAACACCAATTTCATACCATGTGAAATTAGAAAGATAACATCACAAGCACAGTACCCGTATTTAAAAAAATTGAAAATAAACCCAACACAGTGAGAATGATGTAGACATATAAAAGAAACTTAGAAACACTCACCTATACAAATATTGGCGGAAGCCTGAAGGGATCGATTTTGGCTTTCTAAATCCATGGCGTGATATGGCTCATTTCTCAAAGGAGAATAGGCATAGTGACCAAGTTGCAGCAAATATTGTATTTATAGAAATATATATCATGTATTTCAACCAAGGTGTGGCATTATCAGTGTTTAATTCTTAGAAGTAAGTACCCAAGAGTTTGAAAATGATTAATTTGAAAGGCTTTGACTAAATATGGTATCAGTAAGGGAGATTCTCACATAGACTTCCTAGTCTTCAATGTCTGCGCACAAATCCCCAGCTAGAGTTATATATTAGGAGAGTTCAAATCACAACAAATATAAATATTGGTATCACCTTGAAACCATAAAACCATTGTTATAGCACTGTCTTGGTTTGTCGTTATCACACCCAAGTTTCTAATTCAATGGAGAAACCTCACATAGCAGTGCTTCCCAGTCCTGGTTTCACCCATTTGGTCCCCATTCTTGAGTTCTCCAAACGCCTTCTTCGTCTCCTCCCAGAATTTCACATCACATGCTTCATTCCCTCAATTGGGGCACCCCCCTCTTCCTCCAAAGATTACCTTCAAACTCTTCCACCAACCATAACTTCCATTTTCCTTCCCCACATCACCCTTGACCAAAACCCACATCCCTCTCTCCTTGCCTTCCAAATTGAACACTCTGTGAATCTCTCTCTACCCTACGTAAGGCAAGAATTGGAATCCCTATGTTCAAGAGCGAAGGTTGTAGCCTTGGTTGTGGATGTTTTTGCAAATGGGGCATTGGACTTTGCCAAGGAACTTAACCTCTCGTCTTACATATACCTCCCTCAATCCGCTATGTTGCTTTCCTTGTACTTATACTCATCAAAGGTCGATGAGATACTTTCTTCTAAGTCTAGGGACCCTCAAGAGCCTATAATGCTTCCTGGTTGTGTACCTATTTTCAGCACAGATCTCCCTGCCCCTTTTCAAAATCTCTCTAGCGTAGCCTACAAGGGGTTTCTTGAACGTTCCAAAAGGTTTCATGTTCCGGATGGTATCTTTATGAATACCTTTCTTGAATTGGAATCAGGGGCTATAAGAGCTTTGCATGAACAGTTCAAAGGGAAGCCAGGGATTTACCCTGTTGGACCCATTACTCAGATGGGCTCGATTGACCACGAAAATGGGGTGGAGTGCTTAAGATGGTTGGATAAGCAAGAACCCAAATCCGTTTTGTATATCTCCTTTGGAAGTGGTGGCACACTTTCTCGAGACCAACTCAATGAATTAGCCTTTGGGTTGGAACTGAGTGGCCAAAAGTTTCTTTGGGTTGTGAGAGCCCCTAGCAGTACGGTCAGTTCTGCTTACTTAGTTACTGAAAGTAAAGACCCTCTACAGTTTCTTCCACATGGTTTCTTGGAGAGAACCAAGGAGCAAGGGTTGGTTGTTCCTTCTTGGGCCCCTCAGATTCAAGTGCTTGGCCACAGTGCAACTGGGGGTTTCCTGTCACACTGTGGTTGGAACTCAGTGCTTGAAAGTGTTGTGCAGGGTGTGCCAGTGATAGCGTGGCCCCTCTTCGCTGAGCAAAGCCTGAATGCAGCAATGCTAACTAATGATCTAAAAGTGGCAGTCAGACCAAAAATTAATCACAGTGGATTGGCAGAAAGAGAAGAAATTGCTAAGGTTGTTAGAGGCTTGATGGAAGAAAAAGAAGGCAAGGAAATTCGAAAAAGAATGGAACTTCTGAAGATTGCTGCTGCTAATGCGATAAAAGAAGATGGATCATCTACAAAGACTCTGTCAGATATGGCCGAGAGTTTCAGAGGCTTTTAGCATATCATTTTCAATTCTAGTTTTGGTTTTTCCTTTCCACTTATCATTAATTTGAGTTCAAACTCAGCAATACTTATTTGCTAAGTGTCATGAAAATATATTGCTGATAAGCATAATAGTGCATAATCTTTTCAAGCAAATCCTTTGATGCTTGGTTCTTTCTAATTTTTACATTTAATCTATTTTCTTATATGTAATCACATATCATGAAAATATTGATGGAGAACTCGTTCACATGTTAAAAGTAAAGTAATTCAGAAAAATAACCTTTTGGTTTCTATATCAGAACTGCCACGAAACGTATGAATATTAATGGTTCCAATGTTCCTAACTAATTTAATTAAGCTTACAAAACTCATGAATGATGAAGGCTCAGCTTATTTGTGAGGATCAATCATTTAATCAAATCGCCTCGAGACAAGTTTAAGGAACTCACCAAAAATCTGACCGATAAAAATATTTGCATGAAAACAAACAATATCAGAACTGCTACGAAACGTATGAATATAGATTGTTATTTTTATTTTAAAAAAACTATAAATTAAAAAATAGTGAGTCAAAAACAACTTTTCATTAACTAGTATTTTCCACAAGATATTGGAAAGTAGAAAATATAACAGCGAACAAATTCGAATTGAATTCGAAAACAAAGAAGAATTTTCCTCATTTTGTATTACCTAATCACATCGAAAACGCAGTCCACGATGCTTGATCAATCACATCATACAACTACTATTTATTCGTGTATTCCATAAGAAGAATCAAAAGCCAACATAACTAAGTCCTTAAATATTAATGCTACAAACTCAGAAAAAAAGAAATTGGAAATAGTCATCTTTAGCAATTTCCTCTTTTAATTAATGGTTGCTCACGTCACAAGAAAAATATTAAAAACAGCATTTTTAAACTAATTATATTTAGGTTGATAATGAGAATAGAATCTTCAACTAATTATACTTACGTTTCATATCATAATTAACCACCTACTCCTTATATATATATATGTTACATGTAAGGAACAATATATATATATAATCGTGTTTAACTTTTTACTTTGTTAAAAAAAAATCATTAGTCCAATCATATATATCATAATAGGGCCGGACTACAATCCAAACAGTTAAACCTTGGTTTAAGTTCAAAAAATAACCTAACATTGGTATACTTCTAACAAAATATAAAAATTAATTAAAATTATATTTAAAAATTACTTTAAATAAAATAGTCTAATTAATTTTTTATTATTACAACAAATAATATTTAATAATTTGTAACTTTCTTTAAATCAATACTAATCTCTTTTTATTTTATTTAATTTTTAAAAAGAGGAATTATAACGACTCTAAAAATTGTTATTCTTAAGTAATTTACTTTCATAGTATATAAAAAGAGTATATTATGTTTAATAAATATTTAATACAAAATTGATATCTACTAATATGAGATCATGTCACAAAATACTAATAAATATGTATATAAAATTCATAACAACTATATCTTATACTAGTTCTATCTTTCCGATATAGTCTTTGTACTTGTAATATCGTATGCTCTCGTGTAATAAAAACTATCATAGAAGTCAAGTCATACAAATAAGAAAATAAGGGTAAGTTAATTATTCACATAATAACTACCTCCCAAATCTATCACAAATCTAATATTACATATTTATATTTCATAATATCATGAACATCATATTGTATATTATTCATTAGGCATCTATCCACAGAGTAAGACTACTCATAATACTACTAATCTTAATGCACCTCTATCGTGATCTCAAGACAAGTCATTAATAGTCTCCTCAATGACTCCTCACTTATTAATATCTTAGTCTATATAGTTGAAGTTATCAGTGGAACCTAGTGGAACCTAGGATCTCGTTGAGTCCATACAAGCATAGTAGTCACACGAACACAACACAATACTTCCCAATATATTCACAACCATACACATCTTAGTCGATGATGGATCATATCCCTATCTCCATTATTATTCACTCTTTTGGCACAACTAAGCCTCATTAGATCTATCTTATTCTCAAGAACACACAACACCATCATATCATCTTAAAATTCATTATACATGTCATTTTCTTACCTTGTATTCATTTTGTAATAAATTATACCTTGATTTTGCTAAATACTTTAATTTTGTATTTCATTAATTTGATCATTATCTACTCTTTTGATTGTAACTTGTAAATATCTTTTTTGGTCCATTCTTATTTCATTTGATTCTTAATTTCTAGGGCTTCAATTTGCATATATGAAACATGGAATTTAGAGTTAGAAGTTTTTTTTTATATAATTTTTAGATGTTCAAAAAGAAAACACCTTAAAAAATTTACTTGAGGAAAAATTTAACTACATCAATTTTCTCTCCTTTCTTTTGAGCAAAAATAACCTTGTTTCGATGAAAATTAAGTCGACTTGACTCTTGCTTGATTGAGAAGACTCTAACTTGCAAACCGCCACCACCTTAAGCTACCTCTTCCACAATCTTGTCCTTTCTCAAGCGAGTTGCTCAAGCGACCCAGGCCTCGCTTGAGAGAAAATGGAGACAAGGAGTAAGGTTTGCCAAATTTCCAGCCTTTTCTCATCCCAATACGCAACAACACAACTTATATATACCACAATCATGCAATAAGAACATCATACAAAACAAAAACAATATAAACATACATTTCTACTTTCATTACAACACACACTAGAACATATATACTTCTGTTCCAAGCATATTATTACTTAAATAAATAACTCCCCTTACCTAAATATTCCTAAACTCTAGTTTCTCTTGATATATATGCAGCCCACAATAAAAAATTTGATTCCAAAATCTAGGCAACACCCTCATATAATTATATATATATATATATATATATATATATATATATATATATCACTATCTAGATTCCTTCTTTAAAGATAGAAATAATACAAAACCATGAAATAGAGGGAATAACTTACCCTTTCTAAATTTTGTTCGAGCATAATCCTCCTTATCACATTAACTTTCTTTACTACTTACAAATCTAAAATCTTCTAGAGTTTTAGTACACTAAGTTTAGAGAGAAGTTAGTGATTTATATTTTACAAAGATGAATATTTATAAAAAACTATTTAGTTTAGCCTTCAATTTATAGAGTTTTTCAAGTAGTTCAATATATTTTTATATTCATAAACGTTACATCATTACAATTTCTCCACCATAAAAATATTCGACTTCAAAAATGAACTTACTAATTAATCAATATGGATATGATACTTGCATATGGTCTTTAAGTTCCCAAGTGAAATCACCATATTTGTCATCCTGTATCATGTACGTATTTCCTCAACTAAGATACATGAAATATGTTGTCCAAATTAGCTCGTTGTAGATGTAAGGTTAACTCATAAGCTACTAGACCAATCTTCTTGAGTATTTCATATTGTCTAATAAATTTAAGAGTCAACTTTCTGGATTTAAGAGTTCTTCCAACATCTGTAGTAGGTCTAACTCTCAACAATACATGATCTCCAATAGCAAACTTCAATGGCTTTTGTCTGTAATTAGCATAAGACTTTTGTCTATTCATAGAAGTCCTTAGTTTCTCCTAGATCTCTTGGAATTTATTTGTGGTTTGTTGCACTATCTCTCACCCAACTAGTACCTTCTCTCAATCTTGGTACCAACACAAAGGTGTTTACACTTTCTCCCATATAAATCTTCATATGGTGTCATTCCAATTTTAGTATGATGACTATTATAATAAGTAAATTAAACCAAAGGAAGTATCTCGTCACAACTTCATTAATGGTTTTGCACACAAGATTTCAACAAATCTTCTAATTACTAGATGGTCCTCTCTCATTGTCTATTTGTCTGAGAATGATGTGCAAAACTTAATCTCATTTGTGTTCCCATAGCTTCTTGTCTATTAGAATTTAGAAGTAAAACCTAGGGTCTCAATCAGAGAGTATACTGGAAGGTATACCATATACCCAAACTATCTCCTTGATGTACAATTGAACTAACTTGGCCATAGAGATTCTCAAGTTAACAGGTAGGAAGTGTGCATTCTTTGTTAATCGGTTCACTATCACCCATACTAAATCATGTCCTCTCCTTGTCCTAGGTAAGTGAGTGATGAAGTCCATGACTATGTTATCCTAGTTTCATTATGGAATCTCCATCTATTACAACAGTCCCCCAAGTCTATGATGTTCCACCTTAGTCTTCTAGCATACTAGACAAGTATATACATATTGACCCACATTGCTCTTCATGTCAGGCCACCTAAAAGACTCCTTTAAGTCTTGATACATCTTAATAATGTCAAGATGAAAACTAAGCCTACTCTTGTGGCCCTCATCAAGAATAATCTCATTTATCTTTTAATCAACAAGAATACACATGATGTTTTGGAATCTCAATATCCCATCTAACCCCATACTAACAACTTTAGTCTGATCTATTTTCAATTATTCTCTAGTACTTTACATTACAAGATCTAATTGTTGTTTCTCCCTCATCAATCCCAAAAAATCATTAGTTATAGTGAGCATACTATAATTAATATTATATGGAGATATCTCAAGTCTCAAGTTAATATCTACAAATTTCTCTAACAAATTAAGTTCTTCAATCATCTTAGATGATACCTAAATAGTCTTCATGTTAAGGGCATCTGCAACTACATTAGCCTTTTAAAGTCCATGTCTTTCAGAAACTTCATCCACCCCCTCTACCTCATGTTCAACTCCTTTGGGTTGAACAAACATTTCAAGCTCTTGAGCTCATTGAATACTACAAACCTTGCACCATACAAGTAGTTCATCCACATATCTAGTGCAAAAATCATTGTTGCAAGTTCTAAATCATGGGTCGAATAATTATTCTCATGTACCTTCAACTGTCTTGATTTATATGTTACAACCCTCTTTTCTTGCATCAACACATAACACAATCCTTAATAGGAAGCATCATAGTAAACCACAAAGGGTTTAGCTTTGTTAGGAATGACTAGCATCGGTGAGCTAGTTAATCTTTACTTAAACTCCAAGGAACTTTAATCACACTAATATGTCCAAAGAAAAGGTTTATCTTTATGGGTTAACTACGTCAATGGAATGACTATCTTAAAAATTTTTGCTATAAATCTCTTATAGTAATTAGCCACAAAACTCGGACTTTGACATTTCCACCTCAATATCACTTCTAATTTAGTAAGGTCTACTACAATTCCTTCAACTGAGGTTACATATCCCAAAATTTATATTTTTATCTCTATCCAAAACTCACAATGGATAGTTTATCATACAATAATTTCTCTCTTTGAACACCTAATACTATTCATAGGTGTTCCTAATGTTCTTCTACAACCTGAAAGTAGATAAGTCACTACAAGAAAAGTTGGATTTTTCGATGGACAAAATCCATCGGTAACTAAGAAAATTCGTCGGTAATTATCTATAGATAAATTATTTATTTATTATATTTTATTTTTTATTACATTTTGAATTATTATTTATATTTATCTAGAGACCCCCCTCCCCTCCCCTTTATACTATATTTTTATTAGTTATTATATTTTGAATTATTATTTACCTTAGAATTGGAGGCTAATACTCCAACCATTAAGCTACTATGATTTTCAAATAATAACTTACAAATAAATTATATTTATATACAAGTAAATGTATATTCATGTAAATATATAGATATAATATATATAAATGCAAATATATTTATATATTTATATATTTATATATTTTAATAATTTTTGATGACTCGCATATACATCAGTAATTATCCGTTGGTAATTAATAATTTTTTTGTAGTGAGTATATCATCAATTGACAATGTAAACATTAATCACTATTAGATCATCCTGTGTGAGACCATTTTAGTTGAAATTCTCATTTGTAAAAATGATAGGGGAAATGTTCTTAGTTCTAGTGACTAAGATGGGTTGATATTATTTATAGACTTTAGATGTCGTATATAAAACAAAACTTATGCTTCCTCCCCCAACAAAACCACCTGCAATGGTACTAATAATTCCTCTTGTCACTAATCATTAGGGGTATTTTGTGAATGGTTGAATGTCGGTCATCTGTCTACCAAAGGGTGATTATGTCTTCATCTTCGTCTTCTAAAATGTCCATGACCCTGACTACCATAACTCCTGTAACTATCTATAGCCTTAGTCGTGCTTGAAATGTTGAATGAATCAATCTAGGGCTCTTGCTCGAATGAAATCTTCTAAAATATCATTGAGTTTCTTGTAGTTTTTTATATAATTTTAGTGTCATATACATTACTTTGATCGATCTACATCTAGGGGTGTGACAGATAAGGATGACAAAACGAGCTAGGTCTATCAAACCAATTCACTAGCCCGCCTCAAAAATGGCAGGATGAATTGATAATTTTAGTCCACTAACTCGTTTTGGTTCATCCCTACTAATCCACCAATCCGGTAGACCAAGGGTGGGGTGGAAAGATTGACTCATTTTAAAAATATATTTATATATTAAAATAAAAAGTAAAAAATAAAATTAAAAATATTATATATTTTTAGTCATGTTAAAATATGCAAATATACTATAATATAATAATTTAAATTATAAATATTAACCAAGTTTAAATTATTGATTATAATTAGATATCTTAACACATAAATATAGTAATTTTTTAATTTATCTAATAAAAATATTAATTAATAAATAAAAACATAAAATTATTCATATACTTAAAGGTGTATTTTTTTAAAAAATACATATAAAAAAATATTTGTGGGATGATCCTTTGGCGAGATGGACTAGGATATGCAATTCATCCTAAATATGGCGAGTTATCCCATCCCACCTTATTTTTGACAAACTAGAGGCAAGGCGTGTCAAAATGGAGAGAGTTGACTCGTTTTGCAATCCCTAGTGACAGATGGTTCTGGTAGTTTGGCATTGAGAGGAGTAAATTTTTTTTTCCTCTTTTCTATCTTTCGTTTGTATCTTTTTCCTGAGTTATACTTTCGGGATGGGTTTTCCTTCTCCATGAGTTCACTTTTCTTTCAAATCTCAATTTTCACTTCCAATTGTCTGAAAGTTCTGAGTTCTTCCACTGACTTTGGATAATTCATGTATATATTGTCTAAAAATGGTCCTCGCCTTAAATCAGATATCAAGAAATGAATAATCAAATTCAGGAAAATGTTACCCATAGTGGGGCTCACTTCATTAAATCTTTCCATAAATTTTCTCAAGGCTCACGTTTTTCTTTTCTTAGTCCTTGCAACGTAAGAGAGATCAGTCAATGTGGTCTCACGGTGGCGAAGCTAGTTTGTAATTTTTGAGTTATAACGCATCAAATGAATCTATTGATCGAGTAAGAAGATCATAGAACCATTTAAGAGTTGCACCTCTTAATGTCATGGTAAAGTCCTTAAAGGAACATATCACTTTCCCAAAATATAGTGATTTAAGTTAAGTAAGATCATATGTACTCATTTGGATCCAATCCTCCTTCAAATCTTTACATGGTGGGGGATTTCCACATATTGGGTAAGGATTCGGCCAAAATTCCTAAGGTGAATGAGCTTCTCAACTTCATTCTTGATTGCCTCAAGATATAGCGAATTTTGGCTTTCTTCATACTCGGTCCTTAATATGCTTTGGTGTCAACTTCAATTCAAACATCTCTCTGATTGGATTCTCCTTCAGTATGAGCATCTTCTTCATGTGGTGGCAATTGGTACCACAATTGAAATTGATTCCTAGACGAATTATAATACCTTTGAGGAGATCATACTAAAGCATGTGGTTGTGTTTATACCTCTGCATTTTGTTTTTTGAAAGCCTCCATCTCTTCTCAGTGCTTGTACTCTAGTAAATTGTTCTTTTTTTGCATCTCTTCCATATAGAATGTTAGGGTGTTAATGATATCATTTGCATTCATGATTGTTCAAGATTGAATGATCAACAAAATATGACTTGATATATATTTTATCGAATCTCATGGTGGATGTCAAATGTTCTTACAGGAAAAGTAATATAAGGAATAATATATCGAATAATGAATAAATAGCTCGGTTAGGTCAATCTTGATCACAAATAATTGAGTATCTATGTGGTCGAATAGAGGAAAAAAGAGATTCACTCTCAAAGACAATCTAATACTTAAATTAATATAAAAATATAAAAAAAATAATAATATAAATTTATCTATAGACCTTTTACAAATACTATTTTAGATAATAAATAAACAAAAATAATTTTTAAATAATAAATAATATCTATAATTATTGTCTTTATGGGAAGTAAGCATGCTGGATTTCTTTTATGACTCTAGGCAAAAAGCCATGGATAACTCACTTCTCGTACTAAAACATCTCCTACATCATGGACTATGTGATATAAATAATTAGATATACATTTATTTACAATAATACTCATTTAATATGATTGATTTGATCGAATTATTCATTAAAATAATAATGCACTCGTATATAAGATATGAGTAAATACAATTTGATAATAGAATTGTTAGTGCACCATTTTCGTGTTCGAGGAAGCAAACAGAGAAAAATCTTCAACATTGTATTCAAGTTTGTCTTTATCACAAATATACATCTCGACAATTTGGAATCAAAAGAGTTTATTCGAATAATATAACTTGATGCTAATCAAAATCCTAATATTTTTATGATCGGGATCAAAGTTAGGATAAGACTTAGGTACTAGTGAATGACTCAACATGATTACTGAACATATCATAACAAAATATATAAAAGAACTAAAATAATAGCTCCTCCAAACCCATTTAAAGAGAAAATTTCTCATTTATGTATCTAGTTTAATTTTATACATTACATTACTAGAAAAAATACAAATAAAATTTAAACTACACAAATTATGAATAAAAATATAAAAAAGCACTTACTAGAAGATATCATGTTAATTAAATGCCATTTCACAACTCATCAACATATTCTTCGAAGTAACACAAATTCAATGTAATTCAAAAATTTGAATTCATATAAAATAAAATAAAAAAGCTCTTAATATAAGATATCATGTTAATTAAACGCAATTAAAAAATTTGAATTCATTCTGAGTGTAATGATTCTTTGCATCGTAACAGCTTGTTGACTGCCACTAGATAAGCCTCGACACTTGAAACAACCACGTCCATTTCTGCTCCAGTCCCACTATAACAGATGTAATAATCAGTTAGTGATGTAAGTATAAGAATTAAAAAATAAGATATATATACTAAAGAAACAAACTTATGGAATTACCATACCTAAACGTTGGATAAATAGAATCTCTAGCGGAAGCATATGTACATGGATTACTGTTCTCCCAACAAATTACAACACTTGCAGTGGCACTCATACCAATGCCTTTTGTGACTGAACTCAATGAGTATTCCAGAACTTTTACATGTTCCTACATAAAATAGTATAAAATGTCAAGGAAAAAAAATGAAAAATAAAGTAAAGGTTGATGATGTTAAACTTGAAGGCTTTATTAGATTCTTTTTTTTTTTTATCTTCAATTTTTATAGTGATTATGATTATTAGTATCTGTTAGACTGGTCTGGGGATAAGTTTTGCATTGTTGTGTGTTATGCTTTTTATATTGTTTGGGATTTTATTTTACTTAGTTTGGAATAATTCAATTAAATATCTTTGCAATACTAAAATAAATCAAACACGTACATAATAATTCAACTACAATTTGATTCATATTTGTTAGGTAATTAATTACTAAAAGTAATACTGAAGAGCATGGTAGTGAAAAGGGTGGTTAGAAACTTGAAACCTTGACAATGATGTTGATGGCCTTGTAAGCTGAATCCACAGCTCCTGTACCAATTGAGCAAGCCACATGTGTTGTGCCATCAATGCTAACAAGTTTTACAGTTGCAGTTGAAAGACCCAAAGTTCCACAAGTCACCTACAGTGGTAAATATTAATTAATTATTGTTAGGTCAAGCCATTACATCAAACATCTAATTTTCAAATTAAGCATATTTAAATATACTTGTAAATCACTGAGCTTCCATATCGGTTCTGCATGGAAAGCTTTATGTGATACCAATGATTTGAGGTCCATATCAGTTATAACCTAAGAACATCAAAATGGAAATCAAACAATAAGATTTTCCTTCTAAATTCATACGTACATATCTTACATGTAATACATCACAAAAACACATTTATATAGCTATTGTATAAAAGTAAACAAGTATAAGATGAATATATAACTTATTGTATTCTACTTGTTTATATCAATTTCTTATTGTATTCTAGTTGTTTATATATATAATTATTAGAAAATAGAAAATAACTTATCTTAACCTTTTTCTTCTCAGCCATTGCTTTGAAGTGCCAAAACAATTTATCAACTTCTTCCTCCTTAAGTTCATAACCGAGCTGAAACAATAGAGAATAATCCATGTAACTAAAGAGGGTGACATTAAATATACTTTTACCATTAAAAGTGTGTTTCAATAAAATAATTGGAAAATCCAAACAAATTTCTACTAATTGAATTTACTTCATTCAAATTTTTTTGTAAACAATAGTTAAATTCTTTTGTCAAAATAGTTGTATTATAAATTCTCTAGTTTTAATATAACATAAAAAATTACTTTATCATAAAATTATCTTTTAAAAAAATAAAATAAATAGGATGTTATTATCATATAATAACAATAGCTAAATAAGAGTAGGTCAATAGAGAATTTGTCCAAGCGTAGAATAGAAAACGAAATCTTTTGCTATACTAAAATATACAAAGGATATACATATATAAAGGTATACCTCTTCTAGTCGCTTTCTCAAAGCTTGGCGTCCACTACATTAACAAATAACAAAAAAAAAATATGAAGAAAACACAAGTTAACAATCAATTGCACAATATCTAAATTACAAAATAACGAAAGTAAAATATGGGTGAACTAGTAAATTAATTTGTAGTCCATTAAACATAGATTAATTTGTAGTTCATTTAATATATATAATAGGAATCTATATATTAAATGAACTAATACAACATAAGAATTATCTTTTTATGAGTGATCGTTAGGGAGATGTCCTTAACAAGTTTAAAACCGACCTTTATAATTAACCTATAATTAGACACCCAATATAGGAACAACAACTATAATTAACCTAGAATTTAGGTACACAACGTCCTAGATATGTGGACACTTACAAAACTATCTGTTTAACAAAATAATTTATAAATAGATCTCGAAACGAAGATTTAGACGAGTGACTATTTAATAGGTTCCAAATCTTCTATACTAGAACATGTATTAAATTTTAGTTCTTTATTTTAGTTAAGAGTGTTTTGGTATGTTCAGCAAATTAAAATATAACGTTAGGCATGAGTAATATTAGGGTTTGTTGTACAAAAAATTAATAAATATTAGAGTTTAGGGTTTTAGATTAAATCCTAAATTTTAAATTTATTTTGAAAATAGCATTTCATAATAATAAAATCTTATGAGATGTTTTTAAATAAATAATTAAAAACTAATTCTGGATTCGAGAATATATTTGAGATTTTTTTTTCATAATCTCACTAAAATGTTTAATTCATAAACTCTTTAATACATTTTAGATAATACTTTTCTCAAAATTTTAAAAGATATTTTTTATCATTTGTTGCAATAAAAAAAAAGTAATTATAAAAAAAACAATTATCTAAAATCTTTAAGTTGATGAAAACTCAACTCAACTTAACTCATCATTGTACATTCTAATTCAACTAGTTGGAGTCAACGAATATCTCACCTTTAGGTGCACATTCTTTTACCCGTTTCAAATTATTTTCTAATCTTGTAATGTCCATTAGGGTTATGATATGGAAAAAGTAAAATGTGATTACACATAATACTATCCATTGTTCTATATTGTGAAAAAAACATACAAGTATCTTTTCATTCTAATTTTAGTACATAAAAAACAAGTTTGTGAAAAAAAAAAAAAAACACTTTTGACAAAAAAAAAATTCCAATTATTCATCCCTTAGATTGATAGTCATTTGTCCAACTAAAACAAATTAAGAACTTTAGAGAAAAAAAATGGCAAATTGCATACCTAAGCTTTCCAAGCACAATACCAATTCCAGTTGATATTTTATGGCCAATATCCTCAGGAGATATTATTTGATATGTACCTTTATGTTTTAGCATTCCATCCTACAACGTAGAATATCATTAAATAAAAAATGAATGAATTTAAAAGTAGTTTTATGTAAGTTGACCTAACCTTACTACAAAAATAACATGCATGAAAGAAACAAACCTAAACTAAAAGAATATTATGTGAAATGAATCAAAGTAAAATTGTAGTTAAATTTGATTTTGAGTTTTACAAGGGTGGGGGGTGGTATAAATGAAGTTAAGAAAAAATTATCATATATTTGATGGTTATTTTGAATCCAAAATTTAATGCTACTAACCTGATGAATGCCACTAGCATGGACAAATGCATTAACTCCAACAAGAGCCTTGTGAGGTTGTAAATGCATACCCGAGTATTCTTCAACCTATTCATATTATAGTTTTGAAAAATTGATAAGAACAAAAGCAAATAAAAAAAGAGAGAGACAATAAATTACAACTTATAGAGAAAGACTTTAAATAAAAATAAATAAAACCATTTTGCTTGTCTCTAATATGTGCCTTGTATTGATTCTTGTATATAGACCATTTAAGACATAATTTCCCTTGCATGCCAAGGCCATCACAACCTAAGCTCAAAAATATCATAAAGTAATATGTTAAAGAAGATTATCAGCAAATTATTTAAAAATTAAAAATATTGATTAAATAGCAATTAACACATAAAAAAAAACCTTTATGGAACTAGTATATAATTGTTAGTTTTAATAATTATAGAAAAGACATAATTAATAATAAATGATAAAAATTTAAAGCGGCATTCATAATCACTATAATCAGGATATTGTAATGTAATAATAAAACCCATCAATATCAACCAATATGAGATACGTAGAGCTTTGTTGTTATTTTAATATAAAACAAATTACTATGTTTTCTCTTATGAGTATAAACAACAAAATAAGTTCTTTCTATATTATTAATTAAGTAACGGATGAGATGCAAATAAATTTCTCTATAAAAAAAATATTATTTTAAAAAAAATTAGTCATCACTTTTGGTGTGATATCACTGTTTTGTTCTTTATATTATTAACTATGTAATGGATGAGATGCAAATAAATTTCTCTGTAAAAAATATTATTTTTAAAAAAATTATTCATCATTTTTGGTGTGATATTACTGTTTTAAAATTTAAATCAGATCATCTGTTTAACTTAGAAACTATCTTGATGTTTATTTTTTTATTTTATAAAAAAATTATTATTAATAAACTTATTACATATTTATTATATTATAAAATTATTATTTTATTAAATTCAGTTGTATCATGAAATCCGATTGAATAGTTTATAATAATTCAATTATCCGATTTTTTAAATATTATGTATTATACACTTTGTTTTAACTAATTTTTAAATTTTTAAATTTTAATTAAAAATTATTTTGTTTGTAATATAATAATAGGTTTTATTTGAATTTGGGAAAGTTAGGCATAACATAATTATAATACAATGTATTTGCTTTTATTAATTATTTTGCTTCCAATAAATCTGTTTCATCTTTTTTTAAAGTCTTCAAACGTTTCCTCTATAATTTTAAGATTTTTTTTAGTTGTTTTGGGATTAATAATAGAATGCTCATTCTTAATTTTTTTTTAATTTTAACTTTAAATTAATTAATAAAAAATACTAACATATTTAAAAATTGAAACAAATGGTTAGAGTCAAGTTAGATTAGACTATGATTAGAAAGAATTATAGAGGCTATCATTAGAAAGAATTATAAAATATAATATAACGTTAGATTTTAATTTAAAATAAATTGAGATTAATTTAAATAATCAATTTAAAATAAATTGAGATCAAATCAAATAATAAAATAATATATAAGTTGTATTTCAATAATTAAAGTAGATGATATACTTTATTACATTATAACTTTGATTAACTATTTTATCTTATCTAATAAAAAAATTTCCTCTTAAATTGATATTAAGCTCATAGTTTTAGTAGATATTCACCAACTCTTTAATTAATATTTTATCAAATGATTACAGAAACTAAACATATAATAAAAATTGTTATATTTCATGAAAATATTTTTTGTAAATTTTTTATAAAAATCATAAAAAGTAATATCTTCATAAATTTAAATATATTTTTTTTAAATTGTAATAACTAATTTTTAATAATAAAAAATATAACTTTGTTTTATTTAATTTTAATTAAATATAAAATCTTAATTTAAGTATAAAATGATAGAATGTCTGAACATTATAAATTTTGTAAAATAATTGAAAATATGTAGATTCTATGATGATTCAGTCATCATACAATTTTTATTTATTTTAATGATGCAATTTTGTAACAAAAATAATATATCACTAATTATTATGTCGGCACAAATAAAAAATATTTAATTTGTGAGGCCAATCATCATTGCTTAAGCGAAAATTTAAATTTTGTCTAATTTAAATTAGAGATTAATCTTATTTAAGAGATTGAGTGAGTTTTAAAAATTTTTTTAAGTTATGATCATTTAAGCAAAAAATTATTTAATTTAAGCAAAATTTTTACTTAAAGAAATTTAAACAAGTTAATAAATTTTTAAAATTGTACTAAATATGATCAATTTATAAGTCGCTTAAAGGAATGTTTTTCATGTAACACTTGTTTTGAAAATAATATCTTAATAATGATATTAGTTTAAATGAGTCCACTGTTGTTTAAACGAGAAAATAATTTGTGTGTATCACCATCACTATAAACAATAAAATAAGTTCTTTTTATTTTGTTAATTAAAAAAAATGGATGAGCTGAAAATAAACTTCTTTATAAAAAAATACTATTCTTAAAAAAAAATTATACAACTCTTGGTGTAATATATACCCTTTATTTAACAAAATTTTAAAATTTATTAGTGAAATTAAAATTACATTTGATTGTAATATAATAATAGGTTTTTAATGGTATTAGGAAAGTTAGGCATAATTATAATACAATGTATTTGCTTTTATTAATTAAGACTTTCATTTTTTTTTCCAATAAACTAGTTTCATCTTTTCTTAAAGTCTTCGAACGGTTCCTATATAATTTTAAGATTTTTTTTTTTAGTTGTTTTGAGACTAATAGATATGCATCTTTGAGTAACAAGGGAAATGTTTTGTCAAATTTTTATAATATTTTTATTTGTTTTAAGACTAATATTTGTTTCCACTATATTTTTTCTTTTAGTTTCGTTCTTAAATTTCTTGTCAAATTTAGTAAGAAGGGAAATGTATTAAGAATGCATCTTTGAGAATTGAAACAAATTATTAGAATCAAGTTAGATTATTAGAATAGATTATGATATAGAAGAATTATGAATTATAATATTATATTATATTTTAATTTAAATTGACATCAAATAAACAATCAATAAATATATATATTCCAAAAATTGAAATAGATGAAATTCTTTATTAAATTATAACTTTAATTAACTCTTTTTTTATCTAATAACCTCTTTATTAGGCTTTTAGTTTTGGGAGGAGATTCACGACTCTATTTAATTTAATATTTTATTAAATAGTCACCGAAACTAATATATATATATATATATATATATATATATATATATATTTGATTTAATTTTAATAAAAAATTATAAATTTTAATACTATTTTTGGTGTATATATTATTTTATATAATTTTATTTTTACTATATTAAAGTTCTGATAACTATTACAATAATTGTTTTTAATTACATAAATACGAATTAAAATCATTTACACACTTTTTTATCTTTGTCTCACATTAATAAAAAAATCATGTAGATTAAAAATCATTTTTTTATTGATTTTTTCTCATACTATTTAGCAATTATGTTTTTACACTATTAATAATTATGTAACCAGCACATTTTTTCTATATATACACGGAAGTTATCTATGTGAGTGAGAAATAAAATATGACGCCGCACTAAGTTATGATTAAATACTTTTATAAATTTGATTTTAGTTTTATTTTTTAAGTTAATTAATTGGTCGCAAATGTTAACAAATGTGTATTTAATATTTTTTTATCAACTTTATATATTTGTTATTAAATATTAAATTTAAGTATAAAATAAATAAAATTACATATTGTATACTCACAGACTTTGAAACAGTCAAAATTATTATTAAATATTAAATATAAGTATAAAAAGAATAAAATAATATAGTCAAATCAATTAATTTAAAAACACAAAAATTAAAATGAAATTTAAAAAAAATAAAAAACACATTTATTCTTTAAAATTATAAGAAAAAGAGTTCCTCTTACCCTATTTGAAATAAAATAAGAAGATACAAACACTAGCTTGGAATATTCAAGTAAATATATATTTGTTAACTTAGACTTAAGCTCATTTTTGGATCATAATAGTTTAGTTAATAATTTTTGTATGTATTTTAACTTATTTTTGAATTATCTTATGAGAGTAAGCATATTCTAACCTCATGGAGGATCTTCTTGGGAGCTGAGAGGTGCCGTGACCTCTCCAAAATTTTGTAATTTCCATGTAATTTATGATTTTTGTCCCTCAAATATAATGAACATCTAATATAGTTACTTATATATTTACAATTTTATCCTCTCAATCTCTTATTTATAACTCTCGTATCATTTATGGTTTTGTTCTTTCAAACTTAATGATCATTTAATATATTTAAGTATATATCTATAATTTTATCTTTTCATCTTTTCATTTTCTTTCGTTTTTTTATATTTATTAATAATATATTATTTGACCCAAGATTAATGGTAAAAATCCGCCTACGAAATAAAATGTTGAGACTCACCTCTTCCAATGAAGCATTGCCAGCCCTTTCCCCAATCCCATTAATTGTTACTTCTAGTTGCCTTGCACCTGCACGAGCACCCTGAAAGTAGCTTTCACTCTGTAAAACTTTAAATCTGATTTAATTGTCATCGTGAATTAGAGAAGGTTTTTTTTCTAAAAGTGTTTGTGTTTGTATAAAAGTGTTACCTCGATGGTGTTAGCAGTAGCAAGCCCTAGATCATTATGACAGTGGGTGGAAATAATAACATTTGCAATTCCTGGGGTGTTGGCTTTTACATCAGCAATCAATTTCCCTAACTCGAATGGCATTAGTATGCCTACAGTGTCAGCAATGTTCACAGTTGTTGCTCCTGCCTCAATAACTACTCCAAGAATTTCATACAGAAACTCTCTCTCCGATCTCAAACATAAACATTCATCAAACTTTAATACCCATTGTTGGAACACAATCTTCAAAGGGATAATCAAAGTCCTTAAAACAAAAAGTCTTTCAAAGACATTTTAGGGTTTGGGATTTATCATATTTTAATATAATCATTATATTAGACATTTTTTAGTTGTGAAAAATGGCTGATTTTAATATGATAAGAGCCAAATTAAATTGTAGTATCTATTTCAAGACCCAATGATGGATTGAAGGTTTTAGAGAGAACATTTTTATTTTTTTTACCTTATTTGGTTTACTCTATATTAATTGCGACTACCTAATACTTTTTTTAATTTCTTAAAAAATATAAGTTTATTATACAAACAACTATAAATATTGAATTTTATTATTTTTAATAAATTTATTTATCTTTTTTTATTAATATTTTATTTTTTTAATATTTTCTCTAACTAAAATATTTTTATTTAACTTTTTCTGTTTGTAATAAATATAATAAAATATAAAAATATAATTGGTAAAAAAATAATTAATTAAAATCTTAAACTTTAGAAAGAAACAAGATTTTTACACAAAATAATTATATTTTGAAAAAAAGTATTATATAAGAAAATCTAAATTTTAAACAAATACCAATGACATGAATATTTCGAAATATATAGTTTATGATGAATCCTTGGAATAATAAAAAATGATCAATCACTTCCCAACTTTATAGATTAAAAATAAAGTAATCTCAATTTAACCCTTTGGGTTAATTTAACACATTATTTAACCCTTCAGATAACTAATTATTTGTATTAGTATTTTAATAATAAATTACCAACTGTTTATTGAAGATAAATTAGTCATCTATCCTCAGTTATGTAAAAGGAGCATCCAATATGTGACACATTGCACACTAAGAAAGCCATTTATGCATGCATGTGCATTGCCCCTAAAACAAACGAAGGACCGTCCTTTATTTTTATTTTTATTTTTATTTTTTTTTCATCAAAAGGTTTTACATTTTTATTTTTTATATACTCCACCGTTTTTATTTATCTTTTATTTGTAAAGTTAAATCACGTTAATTATTCTTTCATTAATACATTGTTACGTGTCTCCATATATTTAAATGATTATAAATTATATTAAAATGTGTCTTTTAATTTTTAAATAATTTTTACATATATTTAATTTGTGAGTGGAGAGAAAAACATAAAATAGAAATCTGACCAATTATTTAATTATAATATATAAAATTTTTGTATTAATTAGTTCTTACAAAACAACCTTAAAAGATAGATAAAAATGAACCAAGAGAGTACTACCTGAGTTATTATATATGGATAAGAAAAATAATATAACTTCATATAAAAATTAACATAATAACTATTAACTTCATAATAACATATATTTAAACTCCACCAAAAATCTTGAAGATTTCGATCTTTATTATATAATGCAACTAATAAATATTAGAAGTTTAATATTTTCTTAAAAAATAATATGCATGAAAACAAACAATTTTCAACATGACATACGTAAAATCAAGTTTTAAATATGTTTTTATTCTTCATAAAAATTAATGAATTTTGATTTTATTATTTTATAAAAATTATTTAGTTTTCATTCTTAAAATTTTATTTTTTTTATCACTGCTATATGATCATGTTTGGTTAAAATATGTTAGTGTTATGGAATAATATCAACATGTAATATTAAAAAAACTATTATTTTTTTAATTTTTTTTAAATAACAATTTTATGGAGAAAAAAATTAAAAAATCAACCGTTGTTTTACCTGGTAGCATCTTCAGCACCGAACTGAATATCATTGCAACCCAAACTCTTAGCGAATGCGACCATATCCCTGGCGATTTGAAGAACCTCATCCTTACTCTTCCTCAACTTGTGCTCCATGTGAATGGCGCTGGTTGCAATGGAAGTACAAAGACGAGGCCTCTTCGCGTGCTTCACAGCCTCCCATGCAAGGGCAATGTCCTTCCGAACGCACCTACAGTTCAAGGGTTAGCGTTAACAAATACTGTAAAACTACTCAACTATGAAATCTAAACCCTAAATTCTACAAATAGTTTCACCTATATTATTTGATCAATCCTACCTGCAGAAGCCGGCAATGACTGGCACGTGCCCGTCGGCACCGGCGCTGTTCCCAACCTCCTGCGCGATCATTTTGACGGCCATGAAGTCATCGTCGGAGGCGGAGGGGAACCCCGGCTGAATGACGTCGACCCCCAGCTTTGCCAATTGGCGCGCGATGTAGAGCTTCTCCTGAGAGGTCATGGTGGCGCCCGGGGACTGTTCTCCGTCGCGGAGAGTGGTGTCCAGGATGCGGACGTAGGACGGGTCAGGGATGTGGTGGGGAAGGTATTGAGGTCGGGTGCGTGGAGTGGAGGTGATGGAGGTGGCCATTGATTGGAATTTGGAAGTGCTGAATGGAAGGTTTAGTTCTCAGGGTTGAGTCAGAGTGCGAAGGGTGGTTTGTTTATTGGATATGAAGGTAGCTACCATCACCATTAAAACATGGGAAACTTGGGAATAAAACATGCGAGATATTTATTTATATATTTATACACGGCTAAACTCATCAATTATTAGAAAATCTTGTGTTTCATGTAATTTAATTTTTTTGTTTTGTCCTCATTAATTATGATTTCGTGAGTTAACGTTTTAGTCATTATCATCGAAAACACTCTAGTTTAAGTAAGAATGTGTGTAATATGTTTTTGAGTAAAATATATTTCTCATATTAAATTTTGTGGTGTTTCATACAATTTAAGTAATTTTTTTTCCTGGTATATCATGATTTAGTTGGTTAACGTTTTAGTCATTATCGTTAAAAATATTGTTAGTTGTAAGAGTAAATTTGGTTGGAAAGATTCGTTCTTATATTTTTAGGATTCCAATTATAATTAAAACGAATTATCCAATCCAACAAATTTTGTAATAATTCATGCGATAAAATGGTCAATCAAACTTTTTAATTTCGATTATATAGTTTTAGAAAAATCATAAGATTTGAATTCAAAATTTTGAATAACCAAATAGAATATAAAAGATTATTTTTTAGATTATGTTTGGCAGAAGACATAGAAGTTAAATAAGTCAATTATTACAACGATTTTAAACTCGTTACAAGTCAAGTTAAAGGAGGATATGAAGTTAAAAAGTCTTATCGTTACAAGTTAAGTTAAAGAACCTTGTCTCCAAAAGTATTATTATATTATCAAAGGATTCAACTTTGACAAGTTTACTACACAACACATATCTAGGGAGCAAAATGATAAGACAAATGTCTTGTCAAAATTGGTTAGCATTAAGTGGTCAGATAACAAAGAATACTCATTGAAGAAACGTTGTCATCACTAGGTTAGGATATACTAGAGGTCTTGCAGATTGATGCAGAGGTACCCACATCGATGACACCTATAAAGAAATATACTTGGATCATTTATAACCTAGAGACAAGTAAAATCTTTTATAATAACAATAAACTACTTCAAGAAATAGATAGATGTTGAGTCTTTCATTACAATAACAACTTAACAATTATAAAAGTTCATTTGAAAAAAATAATATTTGTTGATATGATTTTTTGTAAGTAATATTATTGATAATGAAAGACAATTTACTTAGATTACTTCTTGAAATACCTTGGCATAACATATATAGTGGCATCATTAAAATATTTTCAAAATGGGGTTAGACATATGAGCTTAGTAAAAAAAATTTGATGGTCAAATCTAACCTATATTTTTCAATGGGATATAATTTTTTATTTAGCTTGACCCAATATTAGGCCAACACGCTAACAAAATAACTTTGGCCTGATTGAAAAATAAAAAAATAATATTGATGTGTCTGTATCAAAATAATTAATTAAAATTATTTAAATAAAAAATATTTTTAAAATTTAAATTATATTAATAAAATTAATTTTTATTTCAAATATAATGATATAATATATACAGTATAAGAGAAGAGATGTATTCAACCTTAAAATAAGAGTTAGAAATTTACTCTTCAATATCATCGTTCATTTTTTAGTGATTTATTGATATAAAATAGTAATTTATCTCAATCATTAAATTGTAGAATAAGTGGAGGTTAGAGACTTACTTTTATATTTACTCTTAAAATAATTGAATATCTTATCAAATGAATTTATAATAGATATATATTTTTAATAAAATAATATTATTTTTATTTTTATTAAAAAATAATAATTATTTTATAAAACAAGTTGACTTATAAGTTTATTATGGACTACCTTGGATTAAGTCCATATAAGTCATAGTCTAAACGGATCAAATAAAAAAATACCTAATTCAATTTATGCTTTTTCTTTTGCAATCTAACTTATTTATCGGATCTTTCGAATTGATTCTTCAACATAAGTCTATTTTGGATCATGAGTTAAGATTTCATAAGTTAGAGATATAAAATAATTTTACAATTTTAAAAGCAACAAATTTCATAGAAAATTGATAGAATTAAAAAAATTATGATATATACGAGAGCTAAAGATAGAAAATTTTTATTTGTTTTATTCTAGGTAAAATTTTATATTTGATTAGTGAGATTTTATTTGAGTAGAAGACATGATAGAGTAAATTATAATTATTTTGTGTTGAAAAGAAAATATTAATGAAATTTGAGAGGGGATAAAATTTATTAAATTTTAAAAATAGAAGGACTCAGCTTGAACAATAAAAGACTACAATCGTATGCAGTTTAAAGTAGAAAATAGACACAATTAAACAAATTTTGGAAATACAACTAAACATAAAATTGTTGTACGTATATTGTCCTTTGTTGAGTTTAATCCTTTAAATCTTTTTGCAAAATATTTATGTATAATATACATGGAAACAAAGTGGATACCCAAATCTACCTAATTTCAGAAAAATACAAAATATAATGTTTACTTATTTTGTAAACGATTAAAGTAATTTACGTTAACCTCTTGAATTCTTCAAAGAACAATTTTTTTTCTATCATAATAATCTATGGATCATTATGAAATATATATTTTATGAATGTTGCCTCATCGAATCTTGTAAAATTGATTTAAACGAGTATAAAAAATTTAAGAGAAAAATATTAAATATCTTTCTAGAGAGTGTTTTTTTTTTTTTTAAAAAAACTTCTTATATATGTGAACTATTATGTAATTTGTTGATAAGTTGATAACTATATTTTATTGAAAAAAATTAATCACTTTGAATAAATATTGCTTTCATATCACAATTTTTTTTTATAAATTTCAAATTCAAAACTTCGTTTAAAAGAGTGTAATTAAGCTTCAATCAAATTCAGTGTTGGGGAGAGGTTAGTAATTAGTGCAAAGTTAATATGTTTTGGTAAATAACGTAATTAACTCAAAAGTATTTTGATTATTGTGAAAATAAATGTTTAAGCATGTAGAGAGCATTATTAATCGAATCATATAAAAACAATATAGGAATATTTAAATAATATTTCTTTAGAGTTAAATAGAACTAAAATCGATTAACTATTGTGATAATTGAAAAAGTTAGTTAATCTTATTTAAATTTTTACTATCATGAATATATTTTCTAAATATTTTTGTTGAAATATAATATAAGACAAAATTGAAAGTATAACCTATATTTTTTAAGTAAGAGGATGAAATTACTTAACATTATAACATTTTTTTATATCTAAGCCAACATTTTTCTTATCTGGTACGATTGAATAAGGGTGTTAAAATAAATTTAATCCAATACATCAATTTAAAAGACTTGAGAAATAGGTTGAGTTGAGAAAAAAAAAATTATACTTTAAATTAAATTAAGTTTTTTTTTAGTCCATTTAGGTCACGACCTATATGGACTTAGATCAGATTTAAGTCAAGTTAACTTGTAAGTTTATGAGAAAATTCATTTTATAAAATGATTATTTATTTTTAAATAAGAATAAAAATAATATTATTTTATTAAAAATATATATCAATTATAAATTAATTTGATAAGAGATTCATTTATTTTAAGAATAATATAAGAGTAAGTCTCTACTATCTACTTATTTTACAATTTAATGATTAAGATGAATTATTATTTTAATTAATAAATCACTAAAAAAATGAATTATGATAATAAAAAGTAAATTTTTAAATTTTATTTTAAGATTAAAAGAATATCTTATCTTATAATTTATACATTAGATCATTATATTTGAAATAAAAATTAATTTTATTAATAAAATTTAAATTTTAAAAATATTTTTTAATTAGTTATTTTGATATAAACACATTAATAGTTTTTTTTTAATTTTCAATCAGATTAAAATTGATTTGTTAATATATTAATCAAACATGCTAAACTAAACAAAAATTATGACTCACTTAAAATTTTAGATTAAGTCATAATTTCTTTTAACTTTATTCATTAAAAATAGAATAAATTGGGTCAAATGAGGACGTTGAGACCCATATATAATTAAGTGGAGAAGGAGTAAATATTAATTTTTAATGACAATAAAATATGACAATGAACATTTTCAAAAGGAGTTACTATCAAGAGTTGTTTAGGAATAAAAGTAAATATTTTATTAATTTTTATTTGACTTTATTATTGTTGTGCCAATTATTTCACCATAGATACAAGATTGTCTAATTTATTCTCCTAGGTGTTCCATAACAAAACCAATTTAAACCTCATAACACTTCTAACAACTACGTTGCCTATTGTGGTAAACTGTTGAGAGTTGGTCACCATGGTTTCTTTGAGTTGTCTTACCAGCGTGAGAATCTTGTTAACAAGTGAACCACCACTTGGTGTACAATCATACTTCTACCGATAATTGTTAGTCCCTTATAAAAGTATTGGATAAGAAGTTACTCATTTATTTGGTGGGGGGACAACTTGTATGGGAGCATAAATAAATGAAGAAGAAACGTTATTAATAAAGAAGTGAGTTGAAAACGTGGTTTCCCGAACAAAAAATCAAACTCAAAGTGATTGGGCCTAAAATTTTGGTCCACCTCTTACATAAATGATGACTTATTAGATTATTACTTTGAGATGTATTTATTATGGAAATTTGCATTTATGAGGAGAAAGTACGAAATGATGAAAGTATGGTAGTAGTCGTCTTTAAAATAACTTTTTATAGAGGATAAAAACTCTCTTCCAAGAAGACAAAAGGTTATAAAAGGTTCAATTTTGTACTAAGAGAATGTTCACATACTAAAGATACGTTTTACATCCTAGTAGGGAGCATTTTGTTATGTATAAACTTACAAATGAATCGAAAAAATGAGTTAAGAAAATATTGAAGTTAAGAGCAAGATTTGAAGATCAAGATGTAAAAGATAGAACATGATTGAAAGACTCAAATATTGAAGGTAATAAAAAGACAAGATATTGTTAAAGATTCAAGAAAAGACAAAATGAGAAAATAAAAAAATTAGAGGGTAGGGTAAAATAAAAGATTGAGAAAGACAAGGAAATGTATCAAAAATAAGTTATAAAATTGAGAAAGATATGAAGCGGTTATAACTTTATAATTCGATAGAAGAGGTTATAAACACCACGAGTACTAGTGGAACCTCGTGAAAGAGGCATAAATGAATAATTGAGAAAGAAACCTTATACAATTTTTTTTTTCTTTTATTAGCATATATAAAAGATAATAAATATAAATATGATCAAATAAGTATAAAAAATGAATGACAAATTGTATTATGAAACTTGTATTATAAAAATTGTTGTGAACAAGAGAAAACTTTTCAGTGAAGTTCCTTCCATTTGAATTAAGACTTTTATTCATTTTCTATATCAATTTCTGTTTAATCCTTCGTAATTTACATTTTTTAGCAACTTACCTTCTCGATAATTTACATTTTCACATTTTATAGTTGTTTCTTCTTATTTGGGTTTCTTTATTTTTAAATATATTTTTTATTGTTCATCTTAATAAAATTTAATCAAAATGATCATGTATAAATTGATACTTACGTGTAAATTCATAATATCTATAAATATCTTTATTAAGTTAATACAGGAGAAGTTGATTTCATATTAATTATTAAATAAGATATCAGTTGTTATTATATTCTTAGATTTAATCAAAACATTGACTAAATTAAAAATTATTATTTGTTAGTGTAAAAAAAATTTACAAGCGATAAATGATTGCATATCAAACCAATTTTTGCGAAAAATTCTTATATAACTTAAATAAGTAAATAATTTATACATCAATTATAAGTAGTTTTTTTGCATTGGTTCAATATATACTATCTAAAAGTTTCTATATATCTCTCAAATCTATAATGGGCTTAAAACAAAGTGAAAGTTTGTTTTAATTTATGTAAAAAATTTATTAGTTAATATTGAATGAATTTATCTTAAAAAGGAAAAAGTAACGCCATTAATATTTTTGTTAACATTTTATTGATAGAAATCTACACATATCTTTTACAAAAGAAAATCTTAATTCTTTTAGTATCAGAGTTTCTCTGTTAAGAGTTTCTCTCTTTAAATTGATACAAATCTACATCTTTTACATAGAAAAACCATAATCAAGTGGAATATCGCTTTCTTTTCCAATCAATTCACATGGACGCATGCATGCATCACGACTAAGAATAATGCAGAGAGAGAAAGTGAAACTAAGAAATTGGAGTGGAGAAAAACGTGGCTGCATAATTTGACCCTTTAGCCACAATAACTAATATTCTACCTCTGTAACATCCAATAAGCACATGCACCGAATAATACGTTAACCATGTTTGTGTTAAAGTAAATACCCAAGTTTCAACCTCGTTACAACGTCATCGAGCAAAAAAATTGATTTACTATGTCAACTTGAGATTTCAGAAACAGGGACAAATGAATAAACATTAATATTTTTGTCAATAGCTAACTCATTAGATGAGTTTATTCGGCAGAGAAAATTGAATATTCCTGGTCTTGTGACCGTGGCTTCAATTGATAATAACCAAAAATTGGATTCAACCTCCTTCACAGAAGTTTCGCCAAAGATTATGACAATAGTCCACATTCCATCGGCTCTGCCTTGATATCACAACTGGAGAAAAATAGTTTACACATTTTTGAAGTTCCAAAAATCTCTGATATGAGGCCATATCAGTTCAAGACGTATGATTGAGTCGAGTTGAAGAGACACACCAGCAAGCTGGTTATATAAAATTCTGATTTTCAAGAGGCATTGACACTTTATGTTTTAACTAACTTATTATAAAGGTTATAATTATGATTCTCTCGCTTCATTCTGTTTCTTTTATATTCATTTATAAGCAATCATTGCTCTATCTTTCCCTTGTTTTCTTAACAACCCACTCATTACATTTTTATTTTTATTTTCCCTTTTTTCTTTTGTGTATCTCTCTCTCCTGCACCAACTTTATATACTTGACCAAGAAAAAAATCCGTACGTATAAATACCTAGAGAGAGCTTCCAATAATTGACGTGTAATATCTGTGGACCCAAGTGTCCCTAACAAATGAGTAGACATAATAATGGTAAATCTGATGGATACGGAGAATTCATGTGAAAATCATGCAAAAGAAAGCAAGGCACATCAAACGAACCCAAGTAGAAGCTGCTCTCCAAAGTAGGACAAACTGTGGAAACACGTGAAACAGGAGATAGGAGAGAGGACTGCATAGACACTAGAACAAAACTATTAATTGGTTTGTAATGTACTTGAGCATATAATATGATATAATAATACATATTACACCATACCTAAAGACATGTTATTCAATTTCAACATGGAAAACCAAGTAGCTGAACTGTAGCCTTCTTCTGGAGCCCATGCTGGTTTATATTCCTTTTTCTTTTTTTCTCCTTTGGCTTTCTTTTTCTTTTCTTTAAATTTGTTTCTTCTTTTTCTTTCCTCTTTATATAAATGCAATTCCTTTTGGGGGAATCATAAAAGACAAACAGCTCTATTTTTATGTGCCCCTTACTCATTCTCTGTGCCTCTCTAAATCAAACCCCACCCACTCTTTCTTCCTTGGGAAACATATCAACATGGAAAGTGATGCTGGGGAAAACTTGTTTGGCACATTCTTCTCCTCGTCCACATCCATGACCATCTCCACCACCACCACCACCATCTCATCATCATCGTCATCATCACCAACATCTTCTACCTCAAGCTCAAACTCATGCACCAAGCAGGACTCCCAAACAAGTTCTCCAGATGATTCAACAGCTGCTCAAAATGAAAACACCCCAAATAGCAAGGAATGCAAGAAAAGACAAAGAAGTGAGAATGATAACAAGCACCCCAGTTACAGGGGTGTGAGAATGAGAGCATGGGGCAAATGGGTGTCTGAGATCCGTGAGCCTAGAAAGAAGTCAAGAATATGGCTTGGAACATACCCTACAGCAGAAATGGCAGCCAGAGCACACGATGTGGCAGCTTTAGCCATCAAGGGTCATTCAGCTTTCCTCAATTTCCCCAATTTGGCTCAAGATCTTCCAAGGCCCATCAGCACATCCCCCAAGGACATTCAAGCTGCAGCAGCAAAAGCAGCAACCACTTTCTTCGATGATGATAAGCATTGTGAAGCTCAAAAGGCCCAACAAAACCATGCAGAACAAGCTTCATCTTCAACTCTATGCATGGACAATACTGAGGCAGAGCAAGTTCAAACAGAACAAGCTTCATCTTCAACTCTATCCATAGACACTACTCAAGTGACTTCAACTTCTCACTCATCTGCAGATGATGACACACTGTTTGACCTTCCAGATCTTTTCCCTGATGGAAACAATGGACTTTTCTCCGATTCTTCTTCTTGGCGTCTATGTGCCTCTGATAGTGGATTCAGGCTTGAGGAGCAATTTTTGTGGGAGAATTACTAGCAGTAGAAATTGTTTCATTTTAAAAATAATAATAATAATAATAATAATATAAAGAGAAAAAGGCTTCGAAATTGAGGTTTTATCTTCCTGTTTACTGCAATAGTGCAATCTGATGCTAGAATACCACTCAGGGAAAAAGTTTCCCCTTTTATCTGTAAATTGATGTTGTCTATTGCTATTTTTGTTTTGTTATGTATTAAAATATAAAGGGTAAAATTTGTCAAATGTGACAGATGTCTGGCACTGTATAAACAATAAAAGAAACTTCTTTCTTTGTGCATGCATCACACTGAAATTTCATATCATTCTATGTCTCTCCTTTTTACGATGAAATGAATGGTATGTGACTTGATTTGGGAGATATTGAAGTCCATCCTTTTTTCACCATGTGTGGCTTATCTGTTAATTTGAAGAATAGATCTTGCATGGGAAGAACATTATTCCTTCTTGATTTTGTTGTCAGCATTTTGATGAAGGTTTCATGATGCTATTGACTGTAAAGCAAGGCACCCGAACTCTTTCTTCCTTTTCTTTATCTCTCAGTTGGAAAGTTATCCACAAGACTAAATGCATCATATGGTACTCATTTCTTTACCAATTGGTTTATTAAATAAACTATGACAAGTTGTGCTCATATAAAAATCAGGAACTCCTCGATGGAATAATTCTCCTCCATCATCACTTTCATGATTAAGTATAAAAAAAAGTAAAAAATTATCTGATTCCTGTTTGTATATACATCCTTTAGGAGTCCAAGAAGTTGACAACGTGAATCTTCTAACCGAAGCAAATTTATATCTGACTAGATGCTTGCATTTATAGATGCTTTAATTAGTTTTTGTTAATTCTTTGCATTTAGTTTCTAATGACTTTTAAGTATGCATAGTATAATACATAATGATTGTATAAAGGTGAGTTCATTAATTTAATTAACAGTTGATCTTGATATAACTAACCAATATTGTTGATCTGAGAGATCACAGAAAGTAAAATGATTATGTTTTGGCAAATTATATCTTATTATACACTACCCTAATAAAAAAAATTTAAACAAATAAAATAAGTTTTTGAAAATTACAAAGCATATAATATGAAAAAAATAATAAATATTAGTTTGTATTTAATAATTAAAAGTAAAAGATAAATATGCATTATTATTTTTAAAACCTACATAATATTAAACTTTCAATATTGGTAATTTTTTTTATGATTACGTAACACAAATTGATTATTTTCGATCTAAAATATTAATTTTGTATATGACTCATATGCATCACCAAATACATAAATTAATTGACACAAACTTCTTCTCCCTTTCAAGTCTTAGTCTCAACTTCGATTGAGTATTCAGTGTACCTTGCATTAAGTATTAGTAAAAAAGAAGTTTTATTTACTCATATATAATAATTTAAAAAAAAATATTTCACAAATGCTCTATATTTTACCAATTATTTGTAGATTAAAGTATAAATTAGCGATTCCGATCTGAATTATAAAAAGTCACTAGACAAAATTGCTAAACGACATCGTCTCCTTTTGCAGAAAAAAAAAAGTCAAAAAAAGTACAGAGAAAAAAAAAGCAGGTTCTACTTTATCATCTTTGTTGCTAAAGAAATAATTGTCCACATTTATTTTCCAATATGTCACATTCTGCTCTGTATTCAACTAACAATGATTACTGCCAGCTTTTCCCCACATAAGTTTTCGCAAATACAAACATGTCAGCTAATTTACAAACTTCACCGTCTCTCCCAGTTAACCCTAATTTTGAAGGGTTTGGTTACCTTATTAAGGAGTTACAAAATGTTAAAAATTATATAAAATACATAAAAAAAATATTTTGAAAAGTGCGTTTGTATGAATTTCGATAAAATAATAATAACATTTATTTCATTCTTTTGTTATATTTTTAAATAAATTAGTTCTGTGTTGAACAAACAACAAAAGCATTTTTTATAACTTTAAAATGTAAATATGTTCATTTGATAAAAGTATTGGAAAGATTGATAAAACTATATTGCACCATAAAATAACAGAACTGCGTAAAGAAAGGAGACATTAAGTTACATCAACTTTTAAAATATTGCATGACTTTTTCATTCATTAATTTTATAATAAGTTATCTAAAATCTAATTGCTATTTTTTATATAGATTATATTTTAAAAATTGTATTAAAGCAAAATTATTAAATACTTTATTGATATATATTAATATTGATATTACACATTAAAGATCTTATGGATATTAATGAATCAATTGAAACATAACCCGACCGAGACATACCTATTATACAATGATGTCATAATAATAATGGTCTTATAATTTTTTAACCTATATTTATAATTTTGATTTTTTTGAAAAAAAAAAATTGGTATCCTCTCATCTCTTCGTACTTTTACATTCCTTATGAAATATAGTAATTATATTTAATTTTAAAAAAATAAGTTTGTGAAATTCATATTAAAATATTAACTTTATTGATAAATAAGGTAAATAAAGACAATTTCCAATATAAATGCTCTTCTTAGGTTGTTGGAATATACCAAAGAAACTCTAGTGGTTAATATACACATGCACTACTTCTGTTCTGAGCAAAGTTTATGGTCAAAAGATTCACAAGTATTCATAGACATCAGGTGCAAACATCCTTAAAGATATCCGGCCACGTTATTGGTCATTCAAGAGAAACTATTTTAAATAAAGTTCGGCAAAATATGTTGCCTAAGAAAACTCCGAATGGTTAATAGAGTCAAAGGTATTATGACAGCCTTTTTAAACAATGAAGAAGACGATTATATATGATAAAAAAGTAGCATGCACAACTTCAAGAATCTCAATCACTTTAACTTGTTAAATTTAAGTATATCAATATTAAGATTTAATATGCCTAATTGATCGATATCTTTGATAGTAATTTTCATATAAACATAGTACACAATCATATATAAGTTAGAAGCAACAAGTTATTTTTAATCTTCTTCTTTTTTTATAATGCGTATTGGATGAAGACATGAACATGCGAAAACTGGAATTAAGAGGATCATATCTTTATTGGAAAAAAAAAATCTAACATTCAACCGTCATGATATTAAGCCTTGCGCATATAACAATTTTTTTAGAAAATATAACTATGATTATAAGTTCCACATTGATAAGAATAAGAAAGTTAAGCAATATATAAAAAAGTATGATTTATAACCTAATTCCAAGTCTCATATTGGGTGAAAATGAGAAAGTTAAACAACATATAAGAAAGTATGACTCATGACCTAATGCCTTAAGGTTTTGGATTGAGAATAGTGTCAATCCTTATATGGGTTGGACTCATGTCTCATTGGTGTGTTTCTCCCCTATAAATCCCCCTCGAAAAACCTAACAAGTGGTATCAGTGTTAGAAAAGGTTGATCAAAGGTTGATCAACAATGAGTAAGAAGGCAAGAAACTCGACAAAAGGTAAAAACGAGAACCTAACATAAGATAAGGTCTTTGTATCCCGGGAGAGATTGTTAGAAAATACAAGTATAACTTTTCATAAATAAATAAAAATTAACAAACAAATATAAAACTACAATAGAACTTGAGATCATGATAGACGATGATAATACAAGGGAGAATACAAAAGAAGGCAAGAAACTCGACAAAAGGTAAAAACGAGAACCTAACATAAGATAATAAGAACAAGAACCCATGTAAAAGTAAAGTAGAGCATATGTATGAATTAATAAGAGACTGAGCTTCTTTTAAACTCATGACATGAGCTTGAACTATGCATGAAGTGAGGTGTGACCCTTCTTACTATAACAAGGAACTTTGTACATTTAAAGCTTTAACATAGTGCATATGAGTATTTAAAGCCTTAACTTACATAAGTTAGATCCTTTATAATGTCCTAAGTCTGTCCTTTTTTTATGCTCTAAGTCAATCATTTCTTGTCCTAGATAGATGTTAACGACTAATTTTGTTTCTTCTTCTCACATTATTGTATATATATATATATATATATATATATATATATATATATATATATATATATATATATATATATATATATATATATATATATATGGTTCCCTTGTATTACGTTACATACAATAATATTGAATGTTCATTCCCTTTTTGTGATGTGTCTCATTATCCTTCTTCTTCTCCTCCTTTATGATGAAATCAAATCTCTTCCTTTGAAAATATATGTTGCATTACTTTGATTCTTTTTCTTTGTTCTTTACCATAACTCACGAAGTGAAATATGATCAAGACAAGTTCTTTCTTTATCTTAGCGAGAATCTCTCTACCAATCTTCTTTCTCCTGTTCTTGACGAAACCAACTATCATTCATGAAATTGATCCATGATCACTATTTTGAGTGTTAAGAACAAATTGGATTTTATCAATGGTACCACAAAAGAATCCGGTAAAGATGATCCTTCTTACCAGTCTTGGAAACAATACAACAATACGGTGATCTCTTGAATTGTTCACTCTGAAACCCATATGGAAGAGCATTTTATGGATGACCAAAGTTGTAGATCTTTTGAATGACCTTAAATGAAGATACTTTCAAGGAAACCTCTTGAGAATTGTTAATTTGTACATTGAAGCATTGTTGCTCAAGCAGGACAACTCCACTATTATAGTTTTTTATCAAGCTTCGCATTATTTAGGACGATTCGGACAATTTTTGACGTGATCCAACTTGTACTTGCACCACTACATGCTCTTGTGTCTCCTTTTCTATTATTCACTAGAGAAAAGATGAAGACTGATCCATGTAACTTCTTTGTGGATTAAATGAGTAATACAAAAATATAAAGTCTCACATCCTCTTAATGTAACTCATTCCTCTCATTAACAAAATATTTTCTTATGTTTTTCAATAATAAAGGCAAATCCAAGGAAATATTTTTATCGACGAGTTAAGATCCAAAACCAATGTTATTGTCAGCTCGGTTTGTTCTTGCTCTTATTACAGAATATATGGTCATACCGAGAACATCTACTA